TTCACAATGATCATCATATACATGGTGCTACATTTTCCTCTTTGAACGATTCTATGGAAGAAAACTACGTAAAGCAGGGATATAGGTCGATATGAAGTTGATGAGAAAACTGTATAATTCAATTAGGCTCCAAGAATTCCAACAAGAAAACTGATGAATAACATGACAGATTTTTCTAAATAATATTACCTTTATGCAGAGGAATTTTGTGAACCCAGACTTCCGTCATTCATTAATTGCATAAATCTTTTTGTCCATTGCTGCTTAACAGAATCTGGAACAGACATATCAGAGATTATAGGATTCCATGCATCTCCATGTGGACTTGCAAGAACCCAATTGACTTTCATTGGCGGGCCAACGATTGAAGAAACTTTCATATCTCCATAAATGTTTTTCGTTCTCGGAATAGAGTTCTAAAACGGACAAAATCCTAGAAAATCAGTTACATTCAATAACAAGAGAAAGAAAACACAACACAAGTTCCTCCTTTATTTGAAATAAGGTAGATTTAAGCATACCTCTATGTGATTGTCCAGTTGAAAAACTTTCGACATGAGTTTATTTTCCTTTATTTCTGCAAGAGCCTTTGATAAGGGGACATCATCTCCTTCCAATTCTGCCAAGTATCTCTCAACAGAAACCAGGGACCGAAACTTCTGCCCAGTCTCAGGTTCATAATAGTACTGCGACAAAATAAAATGTGATCTTTTTATGAACTGATGTACAATTAGGAATGGAAAAACACATAAAGGTATAGGGTTCATAACCATTAATATATAGCCTCATAGTTTAAAGTAAAAGTAAAGAAAACCAAGATGAGTATATAGCCTCGTCGTAATTGTGGGTCCTACGAAACGTGTGATTAAAATTAATGTTTTGAGTTTGAAAAGTAAATTATAAGTTACTTTTAATGTTATTTAAGCATAGGCTAGTACTCTAAAAAGTTAATTTGTAAACTCTTAACTTCATCAAACATTGCTACGAAACTTTGCAGGCATGCCAGTCTTCAAAAATCTTAATTTCAGTGTGTAAAGAGGCAATTGGAAATGCTAATAGAATGTTAACTGTTCCATTTCAGAAAATATATTGAAATCACGAGGTTCATAAACTGAGTAATTGAAAGAAAGAACATAACCTTATCAATCGTGCCATCATATTTACGGGGTACCTTCTCCACAATCCACCCATCCGGAAGCTTAAAGTATGGGGAGGCTTTAGCGCTTCTGGAAACCACCATTGCCAATTGATTTCGATCTATTTCTTTACCTAGTTTCAACATCTGCAAAGGCACTTTTCATCAATGAAGAGAATCGTGTTCCAGGATTAAAGTGCTTTTCCTAGGACGTCAACAAGAGTTTTTCAAGTACAACAGACCACAAAGGACAGCATGTTTTCCATCTAATGGCACTTTTAAAATCTCAGTCTAAACTACCTCAGCCCATCAAACAGATTTTTCAATGAGTTCATTTATATCTATTTAACAAGAAAATATGCCAACTAAACTTATGTAATATTCTCTCTACATGATCACAAAATAGCTCGCATAAATTCTTAGTAACTTTGAACTAGATATTGTTAACTTTGTCCCCAAATCTCAATGAAAATGCAAACAAAGAACAGAAACTTATAGCTCATTATTCGAATACAAATCCACACAAGAGATCAAACTAATTCCTCATTCTAGCCACCGAAACAGGCCTTGAGACCGCCCGAGTAATATTTATTTTTTAGTGCAAAAGAAGACCTTGTTATCTAAAAAGTAAAAACCTCACATATAATCTCTTTTACATTTTCCTCACAAAGGACTCTTACAAAAGATAATTCCCTAAGCCTCTATGGAATTAATTCTTTACCTTTCCACCAGAAACAATCATCCTCTGACACCCGGATTTCTGCAGAAAATTCTTGAAAAATTAATTAAAAAACCCAATCAACATATAAAAATTTCTTTTAATCAGTTAAAAAATTATGATTTTTAATTACTAATTTCTCAACATTACACGATTGTGCAGTTTCAATTTCCTCCTGGGCCGAGGATATTCTTCTCCATTCAAGTGTCTCTCAACTTCTTTAGATGACCTGAATTTTCGACCAGTCCCTGGCTCATAATAATACTGAATAATACAATAAAATCACTTTTCCAAGAAACAGTACTCGATTAAATTATACGAAAATGAGAAAAAATTTTACAAAAGTATACGCATTCAACCCTGTCAATGTGGGAGCCATTGGGGCGAAGCACCTCTTCTACACCCCAACCAGGAGGGAGTTTGATCCGAGGAGTGATGGTGGGGATGGCGGTTGTGGGTGGCGACGCAAGGGCCAGTTGGGTGTTATTGGACAACCGATCGCCGCAGTAGGCTGGCCGTAACGGCACCAACATTGAGTTTCGCTCTTCCATGCTTGGCCGAGTTAGTGACGTGTCGTTGTACGAAGCTATTCTTTACAACGAGAACAGTGTCTGTGTGAGACGTGTCATCCTACGGAGGGAGGCAGACGATAGCGTACCATGCTAGATTTTACTTAAATTCTTACCTTGCAAACATATTTCATCGGTGCTTATAAGTAACAAAATATTAATTTTAACAACAATTACATTCAAATTAAGTTAATTTATTTATTTACGAGTTAAATACAAAGTCAGGGTGGCCACCGTTGATTGTGTACGAACAAAATACGAGTCAAAAGGCATGGTAAGAAAGGGTTTAGCTAATGGAGATATTAACTCTTCCGGGAACCAGTAACGCGTAAACCATGTCAAACCAAGACCAATCAATATCCGAACAGAACGGATTCGAACTTCTCCTAGAATACTTTCCGGTGCGAAATGAAATTCATAGAATATATATGAGTAATTCAAAGGAAAAATAGAAATATTTAATAGAATTGATTTTCAATCACAATTGAATCACTACATTAATCAGAACTTTAAACTATCAACAAAAAAGAATTTTATGAGGCTTTCTCCTTTTCCCTGTCGAGAAGAAAAAGTTTTTCTCTTAGAGAGGCGTTTTCCTCTTTTAGAAAAGCGCTTCTTCTCTCAATCGATTCCCATTGAGTGGATAACTCTTGGCGATGTTGCATATCCAATCGGGCTTGGTGCTTTTGTTTTAAAAAGCCCTGGAAATGCTCTGCCTGGGTCGTTTTTACTTCGCAATAGAATGGGGATTCGTGCCCCTCGTTACATAAGCTTTGAAAAATCTGGCATAGAGCGGTGTGATTGAATTCGACGCTCTCAAGCTCTACTTTCACTATGGAATCCAGGTCGANCGGGTAACTTTGCCCCGGGTGTTGGGTATGGGTAACGGGTGCCCCACCTTAAACAGATAATGGGGCGGGGACGGGACGAGAAATTGTCTGGAGGGATGGGAGTGGTTGCCCTTACCCCTTCTCGTCCCGTTGTCATCCCTAAACTTATCATGTGGTCAAAATAAGACAACTCATTTTATTTCAAAATTATTTTATTTACTTAGTCCCTGTTTGACACACAATTTTTAAAAATACATTTTTTCAAAATTCATTTTCTACCATATATTTTTCAATAAAATAATATTTTCCATCACATCAATATTTTTTCCTTATTTTTTAACCACATATTTCTCGTCATATCATTATTTAAAATATATTATTTTTCTCAATAATATTCATCAAGCACTTTCAAATAAAAAGCCAAAGCAAGTAAGCAAGCAAAGTTAATGGTCGAGGCATATGCTTAGAAGATCCTCTCTCCACCAACTCAATTCTCCCACATATTTTATTTAAGTTAATCATTCACCAATCAATCGGAGTATTCTCTTAATGTCTTTATGGGTCATTCCTCCATTAATTCTCCATCAAATGAACTCAGATTCTTCTTCAAATGGAGCAGCAGCAGCAATGGGAATTAAGAAAATGGAGGATGATCCGGTTCTTGATCAAATCGGGTCATTGAATTGGTGACCCGATTTTGTTCATTCAATTGGGCAACTGAAGATCCTTTGGCAATGCGTCAGCACTCAGATGCTGTGCTTCAAGCTTTTTAAATTTTTGTAGAAGGGATTTATTTCTCTGTTTTTCTTGTTTAGAAATCATATTTTTATAATGTATTCATATTCATCTCGAAAAATGAAAATCTTGGGTAAACGAATTTAATTTCTTCATGCTACTGTAATTTTGTTTTGTTAGTTTTCTGGTAATATGGCGACATCGAGTTTAATTTCTTCACGCTGTAATTTTAATATAAACTCAAGAATTTTGTGTCCTTGCTAAGTGAAATTTTACATGTAATAGAATGTTTTTCTTATAGGTGATTTTTTACTTGTAAATAGTTTATTTAGTTATAAATAATTTTTTAATTCTTATTTACTTATAAATAAATTCATATATTTTAATCCAACTTATTTTTTCTTCATTCATAAAATGGAGAATAAATTATACAATCTAAAATCCAACTCATATATTAATTTATGAATTTTGCTCCAAGTATAGGACCAAAATTCACAGGGGGGGCTGCCAGGCCACTCACACTGGCAAGCCCCACATGTACGTGTAGTATCACTGTTAATTTATTCAATGCGCTAATTGCACCAAACACCGACTAAAAATTAAGTAAGATTAGAATAATCCTCGTTCGTTTTAATGTACCAAACGTACACTTAAAATTACTGCGAGAACATCTTTCCGTCTTGTTAATTCAAACAAAGGCAACTTCTCGAGGATGAAGGTCGAAACTTTATACTTTTCACTTCCCAGCTTTTAAGTAAAGAAAGATCGCTTCGGGCTAGCTGGTATGTTCTAAAGGTTAGGAATTGCTTTGGAATTAAAAAAGTGTCGAAAAATAACACTGTAACAAGAAGGGAAAATAAAGCACGTTTCATAAAAAAAAAGGCTCAAGCAACGGAAATAATTTCCCGAATATGAACTTAATTCCAATATGTGAAAAGCACTACAACCTTCAATCTTGTCTCATAATCACTGAAAGTCGAACTACTTTGGACCTGAAATCCATGTCCAGGTCTTCATCCTCTGTGAGCATATTGGAGACGAATATTTCTACCATCCAGCAACTGCAGAAAGCAAAAGACAGATAAGTAGATAAGCTTAACGGTTTGATTATGAGTAAGTTTTTATGTAAAAATAAGAAAAAGTAACATATAAAAACGTGGACGGTCACAGTCAGGCAAGTAAATACCTGGCCATCCATTTCCTTCAAGGCTTTGCTTGCTGCAGTCTCCTCGGCATAACGAACAAATCCATATCCTTTTGATTTGCTACTTACATGGTCACATACAACGTTTACTGCTAAATGCATCGCGTCACTTTCTTGGTAGATAATGTCACGTTTCAAAAGGCAACGTAAAAGTCCAATGCCTACCTTGAATTACTTCGCCATACTTCTCGAAAGCATTCTTCAGAACAGGTTCATTGGTATCATAAGAAAGTCCTGAAATTCATTACAGATCTATACTAATGAAATACCTATGTAAACATCAGCAGAATTGAAAACAACTCAATAATGGTTTTTTGTCCACTGCACCGCGCCTTTGATGTTTGGGCCCGTTTGGCAGGGCTCTTCTAACTAGACAGAAGATATTTCAGAAAATTATCCAAATATATTCAAGAGTAATTTATTAATCTCATGAGCAGGCCACATCAAAAGTTCCCTTAGAAATGAGGGAGTATCAGGCAAAGAGCTTCTTTCTTTTAAGTGGGGCATTTTATCGAACAGGTAAGAGAAGCTAAGTTAAAGATATGAATCTTTTCTCCAAACGCTTTAAGGATTTAAACGCGAGTTCTTGTACAAACTCATACAAGTGTGTGTGTGTGTGTGTGTGTGTGTGTGTGTGTGATTCAACATAGAGAAATAAAGAGACCTCCGACAAACAATTTTGTGGAAGAGTGGCGCAACACCAGCCACCGGTAGAAAGGCGACGCAAGGGATCGACTGCTAAGGAAATACATTTGCATCAATAGTTGCATAGCGCAAAAATCTTGTAATGTACAAAGAATTTGAATAGTCCCAATTGAAACTGACTGGTGTACTGTAGCTGAGGATCACCAACCCTTTAATTGTCATCACCCTCCAAGGCTGCAACTTACCATTGAAAACAGAATTTATTGAACGCTGTCACGGGGAAGTTGTAGTCACAGCACGAAACCTTTCATTGAGTTATAAATGAGTTATAAATTTTGTCTAAACCTTTTAATTATACCACTGTGAGTATCAAACCTTTCAAAAATCTGCACTTAAAGTCCAAATGGATGGAAATCATTAGTTCGACTATTAATTGACCAAAAAATTGAACTTGACCATAATTTTGAAAGAAAAAAATCGTAACTTCACATTTTTTAAACATAAAACACAATATAATATATTAATTATTAAATAAAAAAACAAAAATCAAAACAAATACCACCATCCCCTTCTTCCCCGAACCCCTTTACCTCAAAACCGCCACCCACCTAACCCTAATGCCATCGCCACATCAGCTACCATCAATTGTGCCAATAGAGACCTCATATTCTCTCTCAGCCTCATAATCAATCCCATCCGAGATCTAAAATTTTTCATTTCATCTCTCAACTATATAATCAATCACATTCCAGATCTATAATTTTTCAATTAAGACCTAAATCATCAACAGTAACACTTGGCCATCCTCCGCCCCTGGTGATGTTAGTGGTGAATAGAATGGTGTGATGAGATGCTATCAACGAGATGGAGAATTTGGATATTGGAGGATACGTGGTTCCGAAGGTGGAGAGGCAATAAGTTGTAGGCGGCAAAGGTGGCAAATACAGTGTATTGTTCCAACCCAAGATGTTTTGGGTTTGATTTTGGAATAGAAATCTGAGTAAGGCGGCGAAAATAGTTAAGTTGTTGGTGTGGATAGTGAAATCTCGATGGTGCCGCCTTAGAGGCGACTTTGGTGTCAACGTCATGGAAGAGGTGATGGTGGAGGCGTTGTCGGGTGGGTGTATGGTTTTGGTTTTTGTTTTTAATTTTTTGATTTTTTAGTTAATATAATTTTTTTAATGTAAATTTACCATGTTACCCTTTTAAAAATTGGTCAAAATAAGTCGATCTCTAATTCTGTAGTCAACTAACGATTAAACCAACAATTTCCATACATGTAGACAGTAGACTTCAAGTGCGAGTTTTAAAAGATTTGGTATCAATAATGATACAAATGAAATGTTTGAACAAAATCTACAATTAAATGAAAATGTTGGTATCGTAATTGCAATTTTCCCTATTGTCTATTGTACAAAGAATGGCAAGGGTGAATTTTTCCAAGGGATTTCTTATGGATGCATTATTTGTTTCGAAATATTTCACATTTCATTTCCTATTTTAGTTGGGAAAAAAAAAAAGCAAAATTTTAATTAAAAAATTCAAAACTGTTATCAGATACCCAGACCTTGTGTGACCTTCTCTTTTATTTCTACTTAAATGACTATCACATGACTTGCCTCCTAAATCGTAAATGGAGGCATGACAAAAAAAACCAACAAATAAACTGCCCACAACCATTGAAAACAATTTCTTAGGGAAATAAATTTTAGAATAGTAATTTTTTCAAAATTGTAATTAAAAAATAAGAAAAAGATTTAAATTTTGAAACAAAATATTTTATTGTGAAAAAGGAAAATTAATAATAAATTTGAAAAAATGATTGTCAAACAATAAAATAAAATTAGAATAAAGTGAAAATAAACAAGTAATTTTGAGCACACATTTCATGAAACTCACAACTTGTCAATCATTTTCCCTCATTTTTTCCCTCATTATAATGAGAAATGTGAACAACTTTCACGATCATATTTATAATTAAAAAAAATGGAGATCGCAACCATACATTTTATCAACTTTTATTAAAATCTACTAAAAACCTAATTTTAATTGTTTATCAAACAAGAGCCTAATATCAACATCAAATCAAAGGTTAAATTCACCAATTGCTACCTAATTTGATTTTGTTTTATCATGATTACTCAACTTTATATTTAGTGTGTGTTTGATAGGGATTTTTTGGAGGAATAATTGATTTTGAATAGTGATGTGATGGGAAATGTGTGGTTAAAAAAAAGATAAGATTATTGATGTGATGGAAAATATTATTTTATTGAAGAATGTGTGGTTGAAAATGAGAATTGATTTACTGTAGAATTGGAAACGGTGCGTTAATAGTTTTGTTTAAAAATTAATTTATTATTAATAAAGATGTAATTTTTTTGGTTAATTAAATAATTAATGATGTAATGTTTATGTAATTGATAAATAATT